TTACAGACAGACTTTGCTTGTATAGAGTATATGATTAGTGATTTAACCACGAGACTTCAACGTCAACAATTCTAACACCAGTGAAGTAGGCCTCATTCATCAGCCTGTAGTTAGTTACCCCAGTTAGTATGCAGGCCGGTCTCCTCCATGTAATGTACTACAACAGTCCTACTCCAACGTCCCAACGGTCCCATACTTCTCACTACACATGTTAATGTTTATATCTGCTTCGTGCCTTAACTCTCCGAGCTGGACGTTCATTTATTTAGAAGCAATTTTTTAACTTCTTTATATTTCATCGCTAAAAATGATCTCACCGAACATAATTGATCAAGAAATTGGACGATAAACGAATTACATATACTCTCAAAGAGATAAATTAACCCATGTGTTTGAAAATGGATAATTAAACTAAGAAGGATAAAATCATTCGTTATGCCACAACATATTTTACCATAAACTAAATTGTTCTCTAAAACGAGATCTTTAACGAACACTAACTAAACAACTTGCACCTTTTTCCGTGACATATTATTATTGACAAAAAGGTAAATAAACGATATCAAAATCGCACCTAGGCGGTGACCTTGGTGGTCGCCCCCCCCCCCCCAGTGGCCCACCGGGATAGCCGCATTCTCTGGCAGGTTTTGTTTTTTGTGGACCCAACAGGCGTGAGAACTTCACTTGCATTGTTTTATTGTAGTATGCAGCGCCGTGCGCCGCGGAGACTGCAAGGGAATTCCTGGTCATGCGAGACCGTACTGCAACTGCACCTGTGCGATACTGTGCATCTGATATGTGTGTCAATAGTTTTTTAGTAAAATTGTAGACAAAAAAGTAGGGATAAGTAAATTAAATTAAGAAAATTGTTTAAAAAAAGTCAAAAACTATTAGATAGCTCGCATATTTGAAAGGTGATTCCTTCTTGGGAGAATGTTTACAAGTACGGGAAATATATGTTTTAAATTATATGGCATTTTGAATAATTAAGGTAAAGGAAATGGGGGGGGTAACAAGAGTTACTACGATGACAACACTAAAAAGATTACGTAAAAATCAAATAAACTAATAAATCAACTAAAAGTATTTCTACATCCTATTTGATCAAATAAATATTATTTTTGATCGTTCCACATTCAAAAACATAGTTTAAGCTAACTGACAAATCAAATTAGGTCAACTAAAAAAAAAAATAATTACGTAAGAAATAGCGTAACTAACGTCAATAACTTAACCTAAAAACTTATCCTCTTGGAAATAATTTGTATACGGATTTCGTAAATGATTTCTACGATTTAAGAATGGAACGGGCTGTTTATTTATGTTCACAAGACGGAAGAAACTGTAGAAGTGGATGACTGAGAACATTTTGCAAATGGATAATCTATGCCAAAAAGTATGCAAAAATAAAGTTCAGTAGCACAGTCAGAAGTCTGTTATTTCCTAGCTAAATGCTAAGAGCGGTGAGGATTTTATAGATAACAAAAAATCAATTCCGGACAAAGTTTGGCTCTTATGGAAAATCTGCAGTAAAGTGGATCTGAACTTATAACATTGCTTTTGAAGCCTGAACGTGAGTTTAAATTATGAAGTTCGATGCATTAACTGACTCGATGCACTATCTTTCAATAATAATAAAAATAATAATAATAAATTAATTATGAAGTTTGATGCATTAACTGACTCGAGGCACGTATCGTTCAATAATAATAATAATAATAATGTTATTATGAATTTTGATGCATTAACTGACTCGATGTACATATCTTTCAATAATAATAATAATTTAATTATGAAGTTCGATGCATTAACTAACTCGTAGCACGTATCTTTCAATAATAATAATAATAATAATAATAATAATAATTTTATTATGAATTTTGATGCATTAACTGACTCGAGGTACATATCTTTCAATAATAATAATAATTTAATTATGAAGTTCGATGCATTAACTAACTCGTGGCACGTATCTTTCAATAATAACATTAATTTATTTTATACTAGCAGAGTACCCGTCCTTCGTACGGGGTTGGAATATAAGTATAAAATGCTTATTGCAGTTATACTCAAGCTTTGCGATTGCAATGGGTGGAGGACACAGTTTGATAAAATTTGCTTTTTTAAATTTACAGTATTCTATAGTATTACACATCTACCATAGCCATAATGTTCTACCATTTTACCTAAACAATAGAGAAAAATAAATGATCAATTCGCAAAATATCACAAATTATTCATGAAATGAAAAACATATACATAACTGTAAACAATCCTACTTTGACAGTTCTCATTGCGAATCACAGTTTTTTGTTGCTGCTTAGTTCAAATTAGCTGTTTTCATAAATGAAAAAAAGTGCTGCACCCTGTTGGTAAATCTTATAACTTTTTAATGCTTTTCCATATCATAGAACCAACTTTTTTAGTTGAAACAGCTGACTAAATTCTTTAATTCCCTATAAATATGAATACTCATAAGGTTAACATGGGGAATTACAGAGCCACTGGGGCGGAGCCCGAAAGGATTTTTGAGATAAGAATATGCCTATATGTTAATCGGGAATGTAAGCTATCATTATGCCAAATTTCAGCCCAATCCGTCCAGTGGTTTATGCGTGATTGAACTTCAAACAAACACACAAACTTTCACATTTATAATATTAGTAAGATTTCATTCTCCGTTTTGTAAAAGCGATTAATTAAATTTATCGAAAAACACGGATTCCATAGCGTCAGCAGTATAAAATATTGAATATTCTTTTGCGCCGAAAGCAGTATCAGTATTGCTCAAAGAATTTTAATATTACTAAACCCATTCGGTTTTCTTGTGTTGAACCCTTAAACAAAATATTATTTTTATTATGCTTATATAGATCCATAGTTATTTTGCTATTTAATTAAAATGAAAACGTATTGGTGATTAAATATTTAAGTATGATTAAAATATAACAATCTTTGTATTCTTTAAAATTTGTAATATTGAGGCGTAAAAGATAATTTCTTGAAATTTTCTTTAACAACGACCAACTGTAACAAATTATAAAAACATTTTCTACATTGACTTTTGCAAGATAAGTAAAGTGAAAAGACAACGAGATAGACACTGCAATTATGTGAATACTGGTTTAAATCCAGGAATTATATCTTAATACGTAATCTTCAATTTTAATTACCATTATAGTTAGTAATAAACATCGGAAAATAATAATAAAATATATTCCACCATCTTTGTGACATAGCCTTAGATAAATTTTGAATCAAACCCTTTTCACCCTTTTATTTTTTAACACAACACCAGTTCTCAAATAAGGATAAAACAAATTTATTTCCTACTAAAAAATCAACCTTATTATACCCGATTAGAATGAAGGGATGTTTTGAATACTTCTAACAAAAAGGAGCCTAATAAACACATCCCTTTAGCAAGGGGGTTGCGGAAGAATCAATCAAGGCTCTGTCCCGGCTTAGGGGTGAGGTAAACGTGTGTTTGGGGGGGGGGGGGGTTGATGGGAAGCCAAAAAACTGATCCCCATCCTCTCGTGTTGTCGGCATCATTTATCTCTGAGTTCCATTTTTCATCTATATACAAGAGAGTGGTTTATCATCGTATTTTGAAATAAGAAAAGCTGTTGAATATTTTTTCCCAGAATCCCGTAATTTTCTATTTTTCCCGCCCAATCTTCTTTGTGTCACACTTAATTCACTTTCCTCTTTCGATTTTATTGAATAAATCTACTTCGAGTAAGATACCTTTTCTTCACAGTTCTTGTGTCGAATATTATTGCAAATTGCAACTAATCGTATTCCTTTTCATATACAGCAACAGTATCAGTTTCTGATGTCCTATGGTTTGTTCAGATTTTAATTGTCAGTATATACTTCTAATCTTTCAAATACATATTTTTCAATGAAGGGGTGAGACTTGATTGTTAATATAGATTAAAAATTTGAATTTCGGGAGATAAATTAAGGTTAGTTTTATAGAGGAAACAATGAGCTATAATAGTTTAACCCTATGTTACTTAGCAAGTTTTACCTTAAGTAGGAATCAACCAAATAATTTTACATTGTCTCTTTGTTTTATACGATTTTATAAAATAACAGCTTATTTCACCTTAGTAAGTTGATATTAGTACCTTTAAGGAGACTAGAAAAACAATTTAAAGGACATTTGTCAATTTATTTGAACAAATAAAATTTTAAGTTTAAATAAAACATGTCAAAGAAGACTAAAAACAGATATTAAAGCCTAGACACAAAGCCTAGTCAAAAACACATAGGCCCTATACTCAAACTAGTTTAATGTTAACAACACAGTTGACTACTACAGAAATCGTTGCAGAACTGATACAACTGTATCATTATCGCCTCGAGCTGCAGAGTCAAAGGTTGTATCTGAGCCAGCGGATTATCCCAGAGTTTGTTATCATCGGGTAATTGGAGTGTTCGAATGCAAATTGGAAACACATAATCGTAATTTCTACAAAACGTTCTACTAAACACCACGATTTAAATATAAAAAAATATCATTGTATTCAGTACGTCTGAATTTAATAATGTTTGCTATGCATTTAGCTTTTGAATTACTATTAATCAATGTATTCAGAATAATAAAGGGCAAGAAATGATCGGGCTTTTCTTATAGTTGATTTATATGAAAACAGGTTGTTATGCATAGGCATAGGTTCTATGTTAACATAGAATGACGTATGCAGTTTTGAAAAATAAATTATTTACTTATGAATATCCATGCATTGTTTGCAGTATTTTTTTCAGTACTTTTTTTAGTAGAAATAATGCCTTTATGGAAACAAAAATCAAGGGAAGAATAGTGACTGAAATGGTAGGTTTTTTGTAGAAGCCCTACAATAATCATCGGTAGAGAGCAAATCCTATTAATTATTTCAGTTTGCAAACTCAAACATGTAATCTTATTAGCTTAATAGGTTCTGTAAATTATTAATTGTAATTAAAGTAATTTTAAATCAAGTATGACTCACTCTTGAGCGTGGTGGCCGTGGTGTACAGCAGCCCCTGTACGGTCTGGGAGCTGTGGTGCAGTAGACTTTGGAAGTCCCTCCGTACTCTCCGGTGTAGGCCTTCCTCTAGCTCCGGGGTACAACAACTGTGTCTGGACCGGCACACCGACAGTCGCGACCCTGCAAACAATAAGGTACATCAGTCAAGAATCAAGACATCACAGTGCCTAGAGTCCAAACACAATACGAAAAACAATCACACACAAATATCCTTAAATTCTTAATAGGGACACGCCCGTTCTACCATTAGATTAACTTTGACAATAGACAAAACTATTGTGTATGACTTGAGACAGAATAACCCTGAAAGGTGACGAAGTAATGGTGTATGTACCAACGTCCACGGAGGACTAAAAACTCTGACGCCTGAATCCCGCGTCTTTACATTACGAAAAACAATAATCCACTGTTTTTAAGAAACACTGAAAAATACTTAACTAACCTAAATGATAATGTTACCTTAAATATTGTCTTCTTTCTATATTTTTGGAATTTGAAACCCTTAGAAATAGATATACTGGGAAAAGAACACTTAAAAATATATTTTTGCAACGCCACTGTAACACGAATCTATTTGAGAAATATGATAGTGAATTCAAAAACCATTCTTGTTTAAATGTTTTGATATATCCGGATACAACAAACAATCTGTGGGTTGAAGTAACGCTGAAGTGGTTTAAACAACCCCTAGCTTGACCAATGAAACATAAGCGGTTGATCGACAAGTGATACGGCGGTGATTCGGTGATAATAGAATCAGCAGCTCTCTAAGAGTGTTTCATTACAAAGCCAACCTCACTAGGCTGCAAAACTTCCGTGTATTTTTATAACATAGTTCAGGATTTGTACACGGTTCACCGTAGTTATTGTAAATATGAAGGTAAAATTTCAAACGAGAATTTAATAAAAACAAATTGTCGTTCCACTATCCATCATTTTATACTTTTATTTGTTTATTTGAACGCTTGGATTTTTTAAAGTTTTTTTTAACCAGTTAGTTTTTTGTTGGTAGCGTTAATCGATAGACAAATGACATCTGCAGAATTGAAATCTCACTTCAGATTTGAAAGCGAGTGGAGTTTTGAGAGTCGCGTATGTTGAGTTTCCCTATAATATCTATGATTAAAACAAAATATCGTAATATATGTTTCTAAGATCTCAAATATATTTCATTTAAGGTATAAACTATGGAAATATTATCGCGCAAGTATGAATTGGTATTTTATTTCTTTAATATGATTAGGTTTGCAACTCGACAAAAATCTATCGTTTCCAAAAATTAAACACAGGGTGCACAATTCCTCAAATAGTTAAGAATAAAATCAAAATTTAAACAGTCTTTTTAGTGCAACGAAAATAACATCGGAAAGCTAACTTCCTACATCCAACCAAACAATTGGCCACCAGTCAGCGTTCAACCATTCGATGTAATCTGTTGTTTCAACATCGTAGCGAGGTATTGACAACACAGTGATCACACCTCTGTTGACACATTAAAATATTGATACTGTCCGAGGTTGATTGATAATATAATCACTCATTTGATATGAATACACTTGTAGTTTATATTGACACTCATGAGGTATAGCGCACTCTCTTATTTAAGCGTAGGTTTTACAATTTTTTAAAACACGCACAATTATAAGTCTTGTAATTTAAATTTTAAGAACGTTAACTATAATAAATAGTTTTTACTTCGTTGATTAAGATTCACACATCAAAATAGAAAACTAGATGTTACCATTGATTGTTACCATTACATTGGGACATTTAAAAGTTAAAGGGTGCGAAACAATCAGCTGATGTTGAACAGCTGATTCAACAATCAACTCCAGGTGGCTGTTGCGTGTTGTTTGCGCGGTTTAGTGTAAACATAACGTGACTAGCAAACAAACAACTAGTGGCATTATTATATGTATTAGAGTTTGTGCGGTTTCTTCACTCCGCAGTGCGTCGTCTGGAGTCTAACAGCTGGAGATATTTATTGTTATAGCTTTATGTAACCAGCGTGCGGTCCGATACTTGATCTGAGGATTAAAACACTCGTAGGTAATGGCACTACTGCATCAAATGTTAAACATTCTAGTCCAGCTGTCACTTTCATCCTACGAGTACGATTATGTGAAATGCGGTTCTCATTTATGTTTATTGGAATGTGAATGTTTCAACCCTATGAGTAGCTGATTTAACATAGATAACAAAATGATGATTTAATGAAATCTTCCCATTTTTTGCACAGCTTTAATTGGAACTGGATCTGTTTAAAAGACGAATACGCAATTGGTATAATGACATTTATAAGGGGTTTATATGTTGTTCGACAAAACAACGTTGCGATGTAACAATATTTACTGTAGACATACAATGTTGTGTATACTGTATGTGTGTGTATTGACAATAACAATCTACTGTGCCTAGTCCGCCTCGTCATTATTGCTATTAATTATCGTATGTAAGTGAATGTTATTGTATTGCAATGTACTCATATTGAAATATAAGTGATCTATATTGCTGTGCAAGTGATGTTTCTTGTTATGTATTTGCTATATAAACTGTATTAATATAAAATTGATAGATGGATATAGGCTATTAATAATAATTGAGAATGACTACTCAATTGTAATATCCAGAATCAATTGTAGCTAAACCTAATTAATTTAAACTTAGTAGCGTGTATACAATAATAATGCCTGATACACAGTAATGATTTCCCAACACTATTTTTACTATACAACAGTAGTTAATAGAAAACAGATACTAATCTAACTACGCAAAAGTAATGTCTTTAGTAAGGTCTACTCAACAGTATTTCCTACTCAGTAATGTCTAGACAACTGTGTTATCAACAAAACAGTTATGTATACTCAACAGTAATGTCTGGAATACAGTATTTAGCCTATGTGGCATCAGTAATGTATACCTAACAGTAATGTGTACAGTCTAGACAGGAGATGAGTCTCACACAAGGTGAGTCACTTCATCAGGGTCGCAGGATGCGAGGGCGGCGATGACTGTACCATTAACATTGATATCCTTTGTAAAGTACAGAGGTACTGGGACCAGGATAATCTTACGACAACCTCGTGTCAGCTTGTCAACTTGTCAGCGTGCATTAACGGGAGGAAGTCAGCAGTAATCTATCTGAATAAGTCATTCATAATTTGCACCAATTTATACTGGGTTCTGCTTGAGCATAGAGGAAATTAAAGTTTATTAGATTAGAATCGAGTAAGCCTGATAGAGTGGATTATGATTAATGAAATTGTCAACCATGTTTGTTTATGGTACTTAAGTTTCTGCATGCAAAAGTGGGAGATTTTAATATATTTTTCTACTCTATTGGCATTTTTTACGTTTTTAAGGAAATGTTCCAAACCCTGGCTTTGTTCCTATCTAAAATCGATCTTTGATGAGCATAATTAATTTATATTCCAATAATGAGTTTTGGATCTAAAGTCGATCTCACTCAGAATTGGACCCAACAACCTTTAGGTTTGTAATTGGTTCAGTTCAACGTATTTTAATATCACGAATCCAATATATTGTAATTGTACAACATTTTTATATGTATTGTAATAAAAATAATATATGTGCAAGAATAGTAATTGTTAATGCGTTCCGAACATTTGAAGGACGCTGAATCAATTTGCAGGCAGCACACACGCAATGATATACTGACATATGCCAAATACACTCTCAGGGCAACACGCTACCAACTTCCACGAAAGTACAATGTACTTCCAGAGTATTTCTGTGACGAGAAAGAACTATTAACACGCTAATTGTGAACTTTGTAGAGGTAATTATTTTTTACTGTTTACTTTTTCTCTTTAGGAGCGTGGCAGTTACAAGCACATTACATCATACAATCCAATTTTTTTAGAAACCAAATAAGTTGTATTTGAACATAAATTTTTGTGATCATACAAATTTTTAAGATGTATTTTAAAGATCAATAATGAATTTCTATACTCAATATTACACTTGAGAAACTGGATGTAGTACAATACGTTAATGATAATTTCACAGGTTCGTTAACAAAGGTCCAAAAGCTTTGAATGATCTAAAGTTTTATTGCTTTCCCCAAACTCTGAGAGAAAAGCCTTTTCTTTTAACAACAATACTCATAAGGATACACAAAGAAAAATAATAGGGAATATTTTCTCTGTCTAGAGATGATGGTTCAGGAACAAAATATGAGTTTTTATCTAGATTTTCTAACTACTGAGACCAAGAGTTTGTGTAACTCATCCTCTCTGTATACTGCAGCCGGTAAAACTGATTCAATTTTATTTAAACTTTTCTGATGTTTTAAAATTACAAATTTAATTGAATCTTTATATCCTATTGCGTATTATAAGTTTAACCAGATTTATTATCTATATTCACATTATCGAAAAAACAACAGTTTAACCTTGTCTGTAAAGAATTTGACTAAAACCTTTGACTATTAATACAACAACTAAAACCAACTAGTATATTGGATTGAACATATTAGTCTATGCTAGTAGGCAAAGAATCCTTAGCAGCTGTTTATTTTACACCAAAACAGTGGGAATTCAAGATGGCGCTTATCTGGGAACAACAGATCCTCCACAGAGTAAACAGAAGCGGCACAGAGATATACGACACTACACAGAGTAGCAAGGTTCGTTGTGAAAAACAAATAAACTGTCAGCAAACATGCGGCTGGCTCACCTGTTATTGAAAAAGCTTCACATTTGCAGTTAACTCGCTAGTTTTTACAAAGAGAGATTATCCTGTGAAGTGTAAAATTATAAAGCTTAAATACCCTATGGTTACGAATCAAATATGTGGTTTCTGTTCCAGATAAATATTTGAGGTTGTTCTTTCAGCATGAGTGGGTTTGCAGTGCAATTAATTTGAATCAATTATATTTTGATAGAGTTAAGTAAAAATATAATACAGGTTCATTACGTTCAATGAAACAAATGTTATGAACAAAAGTACTTATCAACTTATCATTTGCATTGAAAAGTGTCACTATGCGCATTTTTTATTCGATGGTAGCGAATTTTACGATAATATTATCATACATCAGTATGATAATTTTACCAACACAATTTAAAGCATTTAAAATTAACCACGTGAAAGAACCA